TAGCTCCGAGGAAACATATAACTTTCCTCTAGTTCTTTAATGCTTCCTCCCTCCTCCCCCCAACTATCATGACCCCAATTCTACCTTATAAATCTGGCTAGACTAGGGCATGTACACTGGTACAGAGTTGTTTTTAAACAGTTTCTGTTACTGTTTCTTCTCAGCAGTTCTAAAATTTCCATTACAAAATATTGCTATATCCAGGGAATCCAGGGCGGATGATCCCTACAGGACCAGTGGTGTGAGTGGCGATACTGGGAGGGTAGAGGGAGAGTGGGTTGGAAAGGGGGAACCGATTACAAGGAACTATATGTGACCTCCTCCCTGAGGGACGGACAACTGAAAAGTGGGTGAAGGGAGACGTCGGACAGGGCAAGATATGACAAAATAACAATTTATAAATTATCAAGGGTTCATAAGGAGGGGGGAGCGGGGGAAGGAGGGGAAAAATGAGGACCTAATGCCAGGGGCTTAAGTGGAGAGGAAATGTTTTGAGAATGATGCGGGCAATGAATGTACAAATGCGTTTTACACAATTGATGTATGTATGGATTGTGATAAGAGTTGTATGAGCCCCTAATAAAATGATTAAAAAAATATTGCTATATAATGTTGTTTAATATAACCTGGTGTCATCTGCCCAAATTGCTTTATCAAGTTATGCTGGTGAAATTTCATTTTAATTGAAAAATTAACAGTAATACATTCAAAATATGTATTATATTTTTTCCAAATCATTTTATTTGGAGTTAATCGAGAGGTCATATGAAAATACTTTTTAAATGGAGGCACCCCCCCCCCACTCCCGAAAAAAACCAAAACACAGAGTATTCTATTTATGAGAGATTTACTCTTATATATTTACTCCCTACCCTTATGGACTTTTTTCCACAATGATAATTTCAAACATCTGGTGAACATTCAATAGACATTCAAGTCAACTAACAGTCAACACTTAAAAAACTTTTTTATTTTAATAAATCATTTTATGGAGGATGCTTACAACTCTTATAATAATCCATACATCAATTGTATCAAGCTCATTTGTACATATGTCGCCATCATCATTTTCAAAATATTTTCTTTCTGTTTGAGCCCTTGGTATCAGCTCCTCTTTTTTCCTTTCCTCCCCCACCTTCCCACCCTCATGGACCACTGATTAATTATAAATTATTATTATTTTCATGTTTTACACCGCCCACTGTCTCCTTTCACCCACATTTTTGTTGTTTGTCACCCTGGGGAAGGGGGAGGATTATAGGTTGGTCATTGTAGTGTGTTCTCTGTTTTTCCCCCCTCCCCCTACTCTCATGGTATCACTACTCCCATTGCTGTTCCTGAGGGGTTTATCTGTCCTGGATTCCTATGTTGAGAGCTTTTATCTGTACCAGTGTGCATGCCCCAGTCCAGCTGAATTTATAAGGTAGAACTGTGGTCATGATCATTGGCGGTGGAGTAGGGAAGTGGGGGGATAGAAGTAAGTGTTAAAGAACTAGAGGAATGTTGTGTGTTCCATTGGTGCTGTGCTGCACCCTGTCTTGTTCTTTCCTTGTGACCCTTCTGTGAGGGAGTGTCCAATTATCTACAGGTGGGCTTTGGGCCCCACTCCAACACCCATCATTTGCATTGATTTTTTTGTTTGTTTTGGGTCTTTTGATGCCTGACACATCATCCGGTTGACATCTCATGATCACACAGGCTGGTGTGCTTCTTCCATGTGGGCTTTGTTGCTTCTCTGCTAGATGACCGCTTGTTTATCTTCAAGCCTTTAAGATCCCAAATGCTATATCTTTTAATAGCCGGGCACCATCAGCTTTTTTCTCCACATTTGCTTATGCACCCATTTTAACTTCAGTGATCCTGTCAGCGATCACAGCATGCCAGATTATTACAACAAAGTGTTCTTGCATTGAGGGACTTAACAGTCAGTACTTCTGAAACTTCTGCTTTACGGAGGCTGATTTTCTAGAGACTGATTAGCATAAAGTACAAAGTCTTTTTAGTCAACTTGCTAGCACCTTTCCATCTCTCAACCAGCACATACTTTCTGATTGTTACTTAATCTCTCTGATTTCGTTTAAATACTTATAAACGTTGGATAATATTGATATCTACTTTTTTAAGGTTATTGGGCTTAAATCAGGGTCCTCAAACTTTTTAAACAGGGGGCCAGTTCACTGTCCCTCAGACCCATTGGAGGGCTGGACTGTAGTTTAAAAAAAAAACTATGAACAAATTCCTAAGTACACTGTACACATCTTATTTTGAAGTAAAAAAACAAACAGGGCAAAAACCCCCAGTGGGCTGGATAAATGTCTTTGGCGGGCTGCATGTGGCCTGCGGTCCATAGTTTGAGGATGCCTGGCTTAAATGATGATAATATAAGTTAAGCACTAAGAACAGTACCTGGCTTAACAATGGGTGACACATATAGCATTTATTATTATTAAAGACTCATTTTATAATATTAGAAGCAAAAATAATTTAAGAAGCTATTGTGAAAAATATTTTCTTCAACATCAATATTCATTATAAGTTCCGTTGGGTAAATAATGTTCACACCTTTGTTAATGTAGTCCAATTTTTCTTTGGGTATTCAAATGTGCAGATTGCCAAAGATTAAAAAAATTATGCTAGAATATGTAATATGCTTTAATATTTAACATCACCAAAATGTAAAGAAAAACTCCAGAAGAATTCACTTCAGACGACAGCACTGAAGCTACAGCTCAGGGAGAGGGACATGTCCGATCAGAGCACACAGGAGCAGATGAAATGGGAAGAAGAGAGAGTGGAGCACATCCTGGCCCTCCAGGCTCTGAGGATGATATTCCTGTGCTCAGAGCAGCCAGTGCACAGAGAGGACTATAGGGTCAGCCCTACTATGAGACACGACATCTCCACTGACCCATAGCACTATGGGGGACAACACTGGAGACACAGTGCAGGAATTGTGCTCTATCGGACCCCACCACACTGAGGCAAAACACTAAGGGTGTGCAACAGAACAGCAAGGGGAGCAGAGCAAGGAAGTCCCCAGGGAATACCAAAAATAGACCATGGGTACAGGGCATGGCTGCCCATCAGAATCGACCAGAAAACACTCCTAAATGTCAACAAACAGACCTTCAACTATTTATAGGTTTTCTTTTTTGTTGTTGTTTTGTTTTCTTTTGCTGCTTTGTTTTATTCTATCTTGTTTTTTATTCATATTACCATCTCTGAATTTATATCAGGGAGGATAGGTGGGATAAATAATCTGGAGGAGAAAACAACAGGATCGACAGTTCTGGGGAGAGCATGAGAAAGGGGAGGAGGAGGAAAGGAAGTGGTTGTTAACAAACCCAGGGACAAGGGAACAACAAATGATTTAAAATCAATGGGGAGGAGGGTGTAGGAGGCCTGGTAGGGCTTCATCAAGGGTAATGTAAACGAGAGGAATTACTGAAACCCAAAAGAAGGCTGAACATGATAGTAGGGCAAGAGGAAAGTAAAAGGAAATAGAGGAAAGAACTAGGAGGCAAAGGGCATTTATAAAGGTCTAAAAACAGGCATGTACTTATGTAAATATATTTATGACGATGGGGAAATAGATCTATGTGCATATATTTATAGGCTTAGTATTAAGGTAGAAGATGGACATTGAGTCTCTACACAAGTACTCCCTCAATGCAAGAAAACTTTTTTCTATTAACCTGGCTTTCCATGATGCTCACCTTCCCAACACAATCGCTGAAGACAAAGTGGGTGCATAAGCAAATGTGGTGAAGAAAGTTGATGGGGCCCGGCTATCAAGAGATACAGTGTTCTGGGGTCATAAAGACTTGAAGATAAACAAGCGGCCATCTAGTTGAGAAGCAACAAAGCCCATATGGAAGGAGCACACCAGCCTGTGTGAACACGAGGTGTCGATAGGATCAAATATCAGGCACCAAAGAATCAGAACAAAAAATCATATCATTGTGAATGAGGGGTAGTGCAGAGTGGAGACCCAAAGTCCATCTGTAGGTAACTGGACATCCCCTAACAGAAGGATCACAAGGAAAGGAGGAGCCAGTCAGGGTGCAGTATAACACTGACGAAGCATACAACTTCCCTCTAGTTCTTAATGCTCTTCCCTGCCTCCACTATCATGACCCTGATTCTACCTTACAAATCTGGCTAGATCAGAGCATGTACACATGTACAGATAAAATCTGGGAACACAGGAAATCCAGGACAGAGAAACACCTCAGGACCAATATTGAGAGTAGCCTGGTAAGGAGGGTAAGGGAAATGTGGGGGGAGAAAGGGGGAACCGATCACAATGATCTACATATAACCCTCTCCCAGGGGAACCGACAATAGAAAAGTGGGTAAAGGGCGACATCAGTCAGTGTAAGACATGAAAAAAATAATAATTTATAAATTATCAAGGGTTTATGAGGGAGATAGGGTGGGAAAGGGAGGGGAAAAATGAGAAGTTGATACCAAGGGTTCTAGTTGAAAAAAGACGTTTTGAAAATGATGATGGCAACAAATGTACAAATGTGCTTGACACAATGGATGGATGGATGGATTGTGATAAGAGCTGTCCAATGAAATGATTAATAGAAGTGTAAAGTAAAAAACTTTCGTGTATAATGATCAGGACCAAGTATAATTGGGGAAAAACGGTGTTGTTAAGCTTTTAGAGTTATCCTCTAAGACTTGAGTGAAAAACTCAAAGATGAATCATAATATTTTTATAAAAAAAGGAGGTTACATAATATTGTACTTCATCTTGAGCTAGAGAATTATTGAAACAAACTTTTCTAAGTCTCAGTTGTCTGTTGTATAGAGTGGATTGCATAGTATCACTGTTAAGCCATACTTTCTTCTTCTGATTTTAAATGAGCTGCTAATTTAGAAATGTGTTTAATTCATTAGTACTTGGAGTTCTTAAATAAAATAGCTTTATATCACAATTTTTGGAGAACTCTATTGAATTTTTAACACTTTTTTTTATAACTCCCCCTAAGGTATTCCCATTTGTCAGCAGCACTTAATTTGGAATAACATGGAACTTGAAGATGATTGTTGCTTGAATGATTACAAGTGAGTGTCATACATCTTAGCTATTTTAAAACACAGTGCTTTTCTTGCATCATTGTCCCTTCATCATCTGAATAGCTCTCTAATCCCTTGATTTAACATAAATCTTGAACTCTAAGGACTGTCTCAGGCTACCTGATTCTTATTTTATTGTTCTTTTGTTTTCATTTTATCATGCTAAGTTGTTCAGCACTTGCCTTTTAGATCTTATCGTCTTGCTCTATCTACTTTGAATATTGATCTCTTCTCACTTGGCTAAATTCCTTTTCTTTTCATTTTCACAAAGAGTCTTGGATTAGATAGAATTGCTGTCCACCAAGCCTTTCATTTTTCATTAAACATTCCAGTTACTAAGGGGCACTATGTGTACTAGTGATTGCAGCTCGTATGTCTACAAGCTAGTCTTTCTTCTTTCTCTTACTTGGCTTTTTCTAACATTTGGGGTTCTAAGCAAGACTTCTCTCTTTTTTTCTTACTAAAACATGATCATAGAGGTTCTTTCCAGTATACTTTTTTTCTGGAATTTTATGTCAAATGTAAGGTTCTTGAGAAATTTTTCACATGTTCATTAGGTGAACTAAATAAGTTAACATTGCATTTAGTCACATTACTGCATATTTGTTTTGTTTTATGAAGTAGGTACTGTGTCTGATAACCCAGCAATTATTATATGCATATTTGATATGGAATGTATTTGATGATTATAGTTTACTTTTATATTAACTATCCACAGCATTTCTGAAGGTTGTACGTTGAAGCTGGTATTGGCTATGCGTGGTGGACCTATAAATACTAGAAGAGGTAGGCATATAACACAAATATATTCAAGCAATTTCAAAATGATTGATTATTGAATCCAGTAAGTATTTTTATAGCCTTAAATTTTATTCAGTTCTTTCCAAAAAGTCTCATGATTTCTGATTCAGTCCAGGAGGATTTGAAAATAAGTTTCATGAGTTTAGAAAGGGAAATGGGATAGCAGAGTAAAAATAATGTATCATCATGTGTTCATGTTTATACTAAAGTTATTGCTTTTTCAATTCACTAAATCTCAGATTCTAGAATAATGATTGTTATGGAAAATTCCAAAGATGCATGTGGTCTAAATTGTGATGCATCTCGGTTTCATGAATATAATCATGGCCCTGTGGTGTGGTATCTTTTCTCAGTTGTGAGTAGTTTCCAGGAATCCATTTATTCATTGAACAAATACTTACTACCCATCTACTAGCTTTCTCAGACTAATGTCTCAAGTATAGTAAATAGGGGAGACAAAGTCTCTGCTTACATTATGCCAACTATAATAAGTACATAAAGAAACCAAATAATTTCAGGGAATTTTAGAGTTATAGTCTAGTGCTCTAGAGGAAATGGTAATTTGGCAGTGTCTGTGAAAGAGTAGCAGGAAGGGCTACTCTCAGAGACAATGAGCACATATTTGATTGACAAGAAAGCTCTAACCCTCTGATGAGCTAGGAGCATTCATGTGACATGTGACATGAATTCTAAACCAAACATAGGAATCCTTAGACTGCTCAGATTAATGCTCTGCAGATCTCATTTTAGGGAAGGTCTTCAGATTCTTTTGATCTTTCACTATTGAGAAAACTTAACCATACATATTTCTTCAATTGCTGGCTTACTTTTCCAAATTAAATTATGTCTCATTGTATCTTAATTTCTATTAGAAAAGAGTCTTATTACCATCTTTTTCCTAGCTAATACAAGAGAATTTTGTGACATGTTCCACTAGATTGTTGAATTGTTTTGCGTAAGTTGGAAAAACAAAGGTAATATTAGAGCTACCAATCCCAATGTGAAGGACTTCTCATTAATTGGATTTATGAAGCTCTCCAATAAGACATAGGTAATGTTTATAGTAACAATTCTGAATTATTTGCAGAACTATTAAGTTTAGGTTGAACTATGGAGTATTTAATGACATATGGATTCCATTGTATTATTTTCTGAAATTGGTTATTTGTGATAGTACTGTTTTTAAACCATAATATTTAATCAGAAACCTAGTTTTCTAACTGGGACTAAAATGATTTTAATATTTATGAGAAGGAACATAACATACAGATTATAAATTAAATATATTTATGTATCATAAAACTTAAAAAATTGAAGACATCAATACCTTCTAATAGCTGAAGCTTTGTAATCATTACTTTTTCTCTGTAACTTTTTATGATTGGCTTATGAATTGAAAAGTCAGCAGCTAGGCCATATCATTAGAAATGAATTATTAAATCTTTTACATTGAGATTTGAATCATTTCACTGCATTAACTTTTTGAAACTGAAAACTTGCTTTCCCCAGCTTACTTTGTTGAAAATTTGGTATAATGGATTGAATTGTGGCCTCTCAAAATATGTGTCAACTTGACTGGGCAATGATTCTCAGTGATTTGGCAGTTATGATCTGATGTGATCAGTCAATAAAAGAATTAAGGGTGGGACATAATACCTTGTATCTTCAAGTGCTAAAGAGGGAAGAGAAGCAACCACAGGGGCTACCAAAAAAGAAGAGCCAGGCAGGGACCATTTGGACCTGGGATCCCTGCATTGTGAGAGGTCCATGCAAAGACATATAGAGATCTCTCAGAATGCTAGGCCTGCAGAGGTGGAAAGGAGCCAAGGACATTTATCCACAGCAAATAAAGAGAAAAAGCCTTCCCCTAGAACCAGGACCCTGAATTTGGACTTCTGGTCTTCCAAACAGAGAATAAATTTCTATTTATTATAATGGTTCACTTGTAGTGTTTCTGTTACGTCAGTTCTAGATAACTAAGACACTTGGCACAAAAGAAAAAAACATGCTCAGATTAGGACTTCTACCTTGTATTTGAGAAACTATTTTTTTTCTTATTTAGTATTATTTGAAGGCTAACTTATTATCATTATTTAGCTATTTACAACCTGTGATATGGAGATGACAGCATAATGTTCTCCAGGCCTGTCCATGTCATGAGGTGAACTGTGGTTTTGTCCCTGCTTTTTAGCAATGGATGGTATTTCATTAACCAGAGTTCTTTATCCTTCAACGACGGACTTTAGGTTGTTTCTGTTTTATTGCTGCTGTGAGCAATGCTGCAGCGAACATGAGGGTGCATATGTCTGTTCGTGTTATTACTCCCCCCCAGATAGCTCCACTTTATTTTTATTTTTTAACAGTTTTATTCGCATATAATTCATATATTTTATAATTCAGTGGTTTAATCATATTTAAAGGAATTGTACAATCATTACTATGATCAATTTTAGAAAATATTTTCTTCTTTTGTATACTCATTATTATTACCTCCCCATTTTCTCCCAACATCCCCTTGCCATAGCCCTAAGAAACCATTAGTCCAGTTACTCGCTCTACAGATTTACCTATCCTGGATTTTGGGATAAAGATAGAGCTTTCTACTCCCATAAAGAGGTAGTCTTGGAAACTTACAGGGGTAATTCTACACTATCCTACAGTGCCACTATGAGCTGGCATTTACTCGATGGCAGTGACTGATCCTGAATTCCATGTACAGAAAAACAAACAACCCCCCCCAAACAACAACACACTAAAACAGAAAAACCTCAAATGAAAAGAACACAGAAAATATTAAAAACTAGAACAAACTATAAATGGGCCAGTAGGGAGAACAAATGATTAGGTGCTAATTTTTTTTTACATTGTAAAAGTTTTTATTTTTATAAATTGTATTTAATGTTAATAAATTTTATTTAAGGAATTTTACATGTCTCATTTGTCATCCATTGGCTACTGTTTAGTTCCTCTAAATCTTGTAAAAGTTCATCTTTAAGATAGCCCTTTATAAGGAGTGATTAGGTGTTACATTTTAACCTAACTACATTTGCATTAATTTACCTTCCAATGCACTCTGTCTGATGGGAAGGCTATTTACAACACTGGTCAATGGACACCAAGGATGCACTGGATACTTAATCCATGTGGGGATTCTGCATATGGGTTTTGGGCTTTCACTATCATGCATAGCTTTCTACAAACTAGGTGCTCAGAAGTTAAGCTCTAATGCTGTTCCTTCCACCTATTTTGAATTTTTATTACTTACATACCTTGAACCACTCAGGCTATTGTGCTTCCTCCTCCTTGTGGATTTAGCTGATACCTAATATAGAAAGCTGCTTGCTTTAAGATAAACTTTTAAGACCCCAGACACTATTTTTCTCTGACAGCAAGGCACCATCTGATTTGTTCATTATACTTTGCTATAGCACCAATACCTTCAGTGATCTCTTGGTGAGGGCAAGTATCGAGTAGGATCACAGTTGACTCTAACATCTTTAGGCTATATGCACAGTACCATTGCTGATTTGTATGAGATTTACGTTCCTAGTTGTTTGAGCTGGCACCATATCACTTTCCACAGTGGTTGTATGTGTTTACAGTTCCACCAGCAGTGTATAAGGGTTCCAATCTTTCTGCAGCCTATCCAGAGTTAATTATTTTCTGGGTTTTTTTTTTTTGCTCTTAGCTATCATTTTCAGTGTAAGGTGGTATCTCATCATTGTTTTGATTTGCATCTCCCAGATGGCTGGTAATCAGGAGCATTTCTCCATATGTTTGTTGGCCATTTGGATGTCATCTTTGGTGAGTTATCTGTTCAAGTCTTTTGCCCACTTTTAATTGGGTTATTGGACATTTTCTTATTGAGAATATGATTTTATATGTAGAAAACTCTGAGCATTAGAAGAAAAAAGTTGGAAACAAGAGATTTTGTGTCTTGGGTAGGATACAAGATTAACATACAAAAAGCAATCGGATTCATGTATATTAATGAAGAGAACCCTGGAAAAGAAATAAGAGAGAAATGCCATTTGCAAAAGGCACACACACACAAAATCAAATACTTAGGAGTAAACCTAACCAGAGAAATAAAAACCAACACTCCTCCACCAAATACAGAACACTATTACAAGAAACCAAGAGAGATGGAAGAATATTCCATGTTCTTGGATAGAAAAGCTGAATATTGTAGAAATATCAATACTACCCCAAGCAATCTATGAATACAGGTAATTCCTATCTAGATCCCAACTTCATCCTTTAAAGAAATGGAAAAACTAATTATTAACTTCATATGGGGTGGGGGTATGGTGGGGGAGGGCAAGAGACCCAGGATAATCAAAGAACTTCTTAAGAAGAAAAATAAAGTACCGCAAAACTTATTTCATAGTCACATAGTCATAGTCACAGTAGTTAAAATAATTTGTTAATTGTGCAATAATGGACACATGAGTGGACCAGAATAGATAATCCAGAAATAAATCCATCTACCTGCAGACAACTGATCTTTGACAAAGGGCCAGAGTATTCTCTTTAGCAAATGGTGCTGGCAAAATTAGATCTCATTCAGAGTGCTAAAGCAGGATTCATACCCCAACCCATATACAAAAAACAAACTCAAGATGGATCAAAGACCTAAATGTAAATCCTATAACTATAAAGATCATCTTTGAAAGAATAGGGACAAACTCAAGGGCCCTATTTTAGGGCATAGACACTCTATCAAATATAATGAAGGAAACACACAAAATAGATGACAAAATACATGACTAGGAAAAAAAATACCCGACGAGGACCTGTTTAATATAAGACACTTATGTGCATCAAAAGACTTTTTTTTTTGACAGTGACATAGACAAGGAACTACTCTCTAAAGCCCATAGTGAGCTGCAAGAACCCAATAAGTATATATAGCCAGAAAGAGAAAGAGCCTCATTTTCTTCTAATATTATACATAGTTATCGATATATATTTTATTCATCTAGTGTATGTGGGAGCTTTCAAATTGCTTTAAAATTATTGATTGTTAGAACAAATATTTGAAAATCAGAATATGTACAATTAAAATAATAGATAATAATATATATTTTTAGATAATGATGTCATTAACAAACAAACCAACAAACCAAATCCACTGCCATCAGTTCGGGTGCAATGCAGAGTGCCTCTACCCAGGGTTTTCGATGAGACGACTTTACCTTTATCTCAAGGAGTGGCTGATCCTGAGGTTAGCAGCCCACCTCACACCCAACCGTGATACTGGGGCTCGAAAGCATCATAGAATAAAACGATATGTATATGGACTCTAGTAGCACAGGCAAATAGTCATGTATTTGGTTAAGCCCTGTCTTTGGACATAACAACATAATGATACATTTCATTTCTTTCATATATAAATATAAGAACTGCTATATTAACTATAGCAGAAATATATAATGCACAGGATTATTGTTTAAATTCAGCACATTATATCTTGCCAGTGTACTAAGATTCATAAAATGATATAAATTGGAAACGTTGATCAGGTTAAAAATTTTGTCTTTTTTTATATAACAATAGCTTTAATAATACAAAAGATGATACATGGCATAGTTCAGTCAATATAGTTCATTAAGTTTTCTGTGATTTACCAAAAAAAAAAATTTTGTCTTTTATAGTTCCAATGGAAGATCCACTTAGGGAGATGGCTGAGTACATGGATTCCAGTCGTGATGACATCTGGGAAAAGCCGTCCTGCAATAAACAAGTTACATTTTTGGTCTACCGAGAAGGAGATCAGTTGAATTTCTTTCGTGTAGTAGATAGGGGAGATGGCACTTTAACACCACTATCTGAATCTTTAAGGTAAATAAATTTTCATTTGCATGTCTTACTTATAAAATAATGTCATATGACAAAATATAGTAACCTTTGTATTTATCTTCTATTAAAATAATCTTTATTCATAAGAATAAAGTCATACTTTTTCTCACTCTGGATATGTTCTTCCTTCATATTATTGATAGATACTAAGAGAATAATTTCTACAACAGAAATTTCTTTATAGAATAAGATCATTTTCTATCTATATAAAAATACTCCAAAACCACACTCACTAGTGACCCTATAGGGCAAGGTAGAGCTGTCCCCTGTGGGTTTTCAAGACTGCTACTCTTTATGGGAGTTGAAAGGCTCCTCTTTCTCCCACAGAGTGGCTGGTGATTTTGAACTGACGGTATTAAACTGCAGACTTTGCAGTGAGCATCCCACTCATAACCACTATGCCATCAGGGCATCTTTTCTATCTATATAATCTATAAGAAGATTTGCTTTTAATATTTTATGTAAAAATTCTAAGATGCCTATTAGATTACATAGTCTTATGTTACTATATGTATGTGTGTGTATGTATATATATAATGCTTTGGCATAATAGGAAAATGTCTTTTTTCAGAAAGAAAAAAATCCTACAGTTGGACATGTCTATATTATTAGAACCAATGTCTATATTTATTTGACCTTATTTTTGTAACCTATAAACTAAGGTTGGAAGATGCGCATTACTTCTAAAATCAGAAGGATAAAAACATAAATATATTTTAATTACACTGCCATCAAGTTGATTCTGACTCATAGCAACCCAATAGGTCAAGGTAGAACATGGGTTTCCTAGACTGTAGCTCTTCATAGGAGTGGAAAGCCTTCTCTTTGTCCCACCAAGTGGCTGATGGTTTTGAACTGCTCACCTTGCAATAAACAGCCTAATGTGACTATGTCACCAGGGTTCCTAAAGATATCTTAATAGGTAGGAGAAAAATTAGATAATCTCAAAGACTCATAATAATTGGAATACACAGAATCTTAATCTTTTTTATTAGTCACTATGATGGTTAATTGTATATGTCACTGGGCTAGGCCATGACTTTTTAGTTTGGAAGTGAAGTACTATAATATGGTAGTTATGTAATAATGTAACCATTATGTGGTCTGATTTGATTAGCCTTCATTTGTTACAAAGGTGGGATGCATCATTCTCACTCAAATGACAGCTCTTAGAGAAAAGGGATTAGGGTAATATGGAACATCCTTAATCTGGTGATAGTTCTGATATGATATAAAGGAAATCTCTTCAAGGTATTGCCTGAATCAAATATATATGAACACCCAGGCAAAGCTCTCTAAATTTTGCTTTCTTTCAATCCTGCATGTGGCTATCATTATTTGACCTCAAGTTCTTGGGACATGAGCCGGTAGAATACTTTATTGCCGGATTGCCTTAGAATTCATAAACCCTAATAGCCCGAGAGCCAGTAGCCTTGTCATCTGTCAATCTTGGGTTTGCCAGTGCCAACAGCTATGTGAGTCAGGAGAAGCCTTCAGCATGGTATCTGACTCATGGACTTGAGATTTGTAAGCCTCTACAATTGCATGAGCCATTTTTAAAAAGATACATTTATATAAGGGGGCTTTAAAAAGTTCATGGAAAAGTTGAATTGAAAGATAGTGAAAATTTTCAGAATTTGAAATCTTTCAGAATTTTCAGTTTTGAAGCCCTACCATCATATATATATTAGTAGATTTGCTTCTCTAGAGAACCCTATAGTCACAAAACAATTACTAACAAGTCATGAAGTTAGGCGAAGTGTTTGTAAAGAGGGATGTTCCTATCTTCATGGAATATGCAATCTAGTACAAGTAATATCTGTGATACTATGTTAGCTTTTTCTGTAAAAATATATCAAGATCTCCGTTAAAACAGATGAAAGTTTCTTAATTTTGGCTGAGGAATTTGGAAAGTCTCTGACAGGAAGTACTATATTAAAAAGGAGTAGGAATTATTTCCAGGCCAGATAGCCACTTAGTCACAAGTAAAGAAGATCCCATTAAAAAAACCAGGAGAAGTGATGGGAAACTTAAGCTCCCAGGAAACCTGGAGAAAAACTTAAAAGTTAAATGGACCAAGGTCTCCACACCCCAGAGACTGTAGGAGAGATCATCACAGAGAAGGGAGCAAAGCAGCATACAAGGTGCTCAGGCTTTCTTCCAGCTGCCTGCTGCTGCCACTTGTGTGTCCTTCTAACCAGAGTCACTGCTACACTTCTCCCCACCTTTGATCACCACCAAGGCAGTGCCCTCCCTGTGGCTGAGACAGCTGCATGCACTACCCACTGTGCTGTCCTGTGCTGCTTCTGCCAGATGCTCCCACCCACCAGCTAAGGCTAAGCTATGCACTCCTCTGCCTGATGGTCACGACCATCAGGTACCATCTCTGTCATGGGCACATCTGCCACAGAGTACTGCTGCTGTAGGACACTGTTGTCACAGGCACCGACTTCCAAACTTGAGTCTGTGAACTTCTCAGGGACCTGTCCACGTGCTCTGTCCTTGCAACCCACTCTAGCACTTCCCTTTCCTCAACTCTAAAAGGGCTGAAAGGATTCCAGGCTGAGAGAAAATTCCAACCTACCAGTCTTTTGTTTTTATCTCCTACCATTGCCCCTTTAATTTTTCTCTTTTAACATAGTTTTATTATTTCTTTCCATGTTATTACTGTTTAAAGTACATATTTTATTATTTTTTTCTTCTTTATTTTTTTCTCCTTCCTTTTTTTGTGGTTCCTGCTCTGTACCATTCAATAGAGTCACCTGCCCCCATGCAATCCAGCTTTCCACCTACCCCTAACAACTGCATCACGATGTTATGGAGAAAGCAGAAACTATTGAGGCACGCACAAATAAAAACAAACAAACAAACAAATGAAAATCAGACACAAACAAGTGACCATTCCCCAACTCAAAGGCACTTTCTGAAAAAGAAAAGACACTGGGATTGCCAGAAAAAGAATTCAGAAGAATGATGTTCATATACTTTCAACATATAGAGGAAGAGATAGAGAGAACTATGGAAAAAATAGAAAAATTAGAAATTTTATAACAACAATAACAAATAGAGAGCTGGAAGATGAGTGCTAAGGTAACAGAACTAGGTAACACCTTTAAAGAGGAGAGTAATAGAATAAAAAATAAGCTGAATTAATGAGCTTCAAGACAAATCTCTTAAGGATAACTGATAAGAGGCACAATCAACAAAAAGAGCAAAAGAAACAGAAGAAAGACCTAGGAATTATGGGAGACACTATCCAGAGGAACACCATATGTCTCATTGAGATTTCAGAGCAGGAAGAAACAAAAACAAACCTATAGCACAAGAAATCCTGGGAAAATGTCTCTAACAGCATAAAAGAGGACAAAATTACTCTGCAAGAAGGTAAAAGAACCCCAAACAGGTTAGGATGCCAAAGAACAACATTGTAGTTACTGCAATATCCAGAAAAAGGAGAAAATCCATAAAAGTAAGGAAACAAACAATAGTTTCCTAGAGAGGACAACCAGTAAGAATAAACTCGTTTTTCTGCAGAAACCAGGTGGGCAAGAAGACAATGGAATGGCATATGTAAAACTCTGAAATAAAAAACTGCCAACCAAGAATCTTTTTTTTTGTTGAAGTTTTTATTTTTGTAATCGTTTTATTAGGGGCTCATACAACTCCCATCACAATACATACACACATCAACTGTGTAAAGCACATCCGTACATTCATTGCCATCATCATTCTCAAAACACCTGCTCTCCACCCAAGCCCCTGGCATCAGGTCTTCATTTTTTCCCCTCCCTCCCCGCTCACCCCTCCCTCATGAACCCTTGATAATTTATAAATTATTATTTTGTCATATCTTGCC